CCTGCCCTGGCCGGGTGCCTCTCTTCTTCCCCCGGGGCTTGAGAGGCGGCCCCTGGTCTTCTTTGGCTGCCCCTCTTATGTGGGGCCTCTGGGAAGAACGCCTGCGAGGGCTCGGTGGCCGTGGGGGTTAAGGTGGGGCCTCAGGAAAGGGGTTGCGCTTACTTGTTCTTTCTCCCCTCCTTTTGTCCGGCAGTGGCTGAACGACGCAAAGCTTGTCCAGAGGCTGCTGGAGCTGATCCGCCCTCACCAGGATGAAGATGTGAGTGTCCCTTGACCAGCGGTCAAGGAAGGAGACTGGCCCCGTGGCCCTCTCTCCAGAAGAGAGGTGGGAGGCCAGCCTTCTGGGAGAGACCCCAGGGAGCCTCATTCCCCCCACTCTGACCCCGGGGGCTCCTTCACAGGGGGTCCTGCTCGGTAGAGCCTCTGGGCCGTGGGTGGGGGTTGAAAGGCTGCCGGGACTCCAGCTCCTGCCCTGGCCGGGTGCCTCTCTTCTTCCCCCGGGGCTTGAGAGGCGGCCCCTGGTCTTCTTTGGCTGCCGCTTTCCCTTCTCACACGGAAGCATTCCTGGTCTTACAGCGGTTTGCTGAACAAGCCCACATCAGCTTGGTTCACGCAACAAAGGACGGCTGTTATTGAGCTTAATTTCTTCCGTTGTATAATAAGGAGATGCCAATTAATTAATACAGAAATGCGAAATTGACATATTTAAAAGGCAGGTGTAAGGAAATGGTAGAATACCAACCGGTATATTCTACTGCAGTAGAGAGAAGAAATGCACCAGAGGCTACAATTCATAGTTAAATCCATCAGAATGAACTAAGGGCCAATAGGGCCAATTCAGAAGGGAGCCTCCTGTTGGTCAAAGGGGTGAGGATTTGGGTGCAACTCTGGAGGGGACCTGCTGCTCTCCCCCCCACCCGCCTCCCACTGCCAAGGGGTTGGGGGAGGGGGGAATTGCTCAGGCCTTTGAGGGACCCTCTTGCCAGGAATGACTTCTTGCCCGGTTTGCAGAGACAATCCAATGCTTCTCAAACCTTGTGTGATATCATCAGGCTGAGCAGAGATCAGACCAACCAGCTGCAGGAGGTGGCTGACCTGGACCCTCTGCTGGCATCCCTCGAGTCGTGAGTTCCTGAGAAGGCGGCAGCGGCTGGGCAGGAGGGGGAGCGGGGGAGGGGGCTGCAGCTGGGCTAAGGGGGGGCCTTCTGGGATGAGTTGGGAGGGAGCTTTGGTGCTGTGTGACTTGGGGTTGGGGTTGATGCCCCCTTGCCTGAGCCAGCCTCGCCACACCAGGGGGTTGTGGGGCAGGGGGAGGAGGGGAAGGCCTTGGAGCTCCTGGGGACAAAGGCGGTGCCAGAGATGGGCAGGGAGGGAGGGAGGGCGGTGGGGGGGGGGGGGGGCCTATGTCTCGGGGGGGGA